CGATAAGTAACAAAAAGAGCAATATTCGTATGATCAGTGATAACAACTGTATCGAATATCTAGATGGTCATTTATATTTTGATATGTTTCTATTTACCACAAACAAGAAGCAGTACTATGGGTTCATACGATATTCGTAAAATCTATCTTGTATATACGTATGTTTGGACATTTCGTGAAACAATTGTTTTGTATATGAAGAAAATAAGATGGAACGTTTCAAGAAAATGCATCGAAATAATAACTATTATTAAAATAGTATTGATCAATAGTATACAGTACATATTTTTGAATATTACGTAGCATTAAGCTTCTCTTCTTACTTGTTATCATTAAATTTTTAAGGAGGAATACAAATTTTAGAAAATGGCGACTCTATTTTTAAGAGTTTTTCGATTTAGAAAAATTGAAATGACTGCTCTAAAGTTTAATCTTTTTGTTACTTATGGAACACGATACTTTTGTAGTTCAACAGTATATTAGTCTCATTTCTATGTTGTTCTTTCTATATTTGAAAATGAAAGGGAGAAATTCATTTAAATACAACATCAATCTGTATAAAAGAAAAAGCAAGCTCATTCAATATAAAAACGAAACGATCATCTTTCGTTTCTATCAAACATAAAATAAAATAATAATACTAAAGATAACGTTTTTTTATGCAGTTGAAAACATAGGAGAATTTATTGAACTATGTATTTTCCGCAAATGATTAATGATCGTAAAAAAATATGAAATGAAATTTTTATGTTTTATTAGCTGATATTAAATTCGATCGAAAGAGAATTTCAATATGTCGTTATTACAGTGTTATCTTGAGATGAAATTTTTCGAATTCAATATATTATTGGCCATAGCTATTTTGACACTACCCCTTTATATGTTTTATCATCGGAAAATCATAACTATATACATGAACACATTCTAAGACAGCACTACTGAGCATTATTGTTCGCTCATGATAAGATTATTTTCCCCATTCATTTATATTTTCTCGAAAAAATATTATGGTTATAGAAACAGGATGTTGATGCATGAATATTTATCGTTCTTAGTTTTGCCCACACTCTATATCTTGTTTGTTGTGTATAATAGTGACAAGAAGATGTGTAAAAGCAATTATGTCCACTCGTTTTCTACTTTGATCATTGTCAATGGCGGGTGTAAGTGTAGATGCCAATGTTCTCTCAATCCATCATAGTGGTTGTTTGAAAATTGATAATATTTTTCATCAAAAAGATTCTTACCTTCAACAAAACAAAATGTCTTCTTAAACCACGTCTTTTTTATTAATCTTCCTTTTTGTTTTAAGTTCACAAAGGGTGTGAATATAATCCCCTCATAATCAAAATCCGTTCCCACATTTCTCTATGAATTAATAACTACTTGACATATTTATTATAATTTAGATTTGAAAGTTTCAAAAAATAGAATTCATTCATCTTGATATCTTTTTGTTTCTAGTACTATTTGGTTTTACCTTTTTCTCTGATTGGTTTATTCAAGATTAATATAATTAACACTAGTAAAGAAAATATTCATTTAGATAAATGTTTTTTTCTCAACTAGCATTCCTTTTTTTTGTATCGATTCATAATAAACATAAACAAATGGAGAAAAAAAAATGAAATCATCATCTATGAGAAAATTATTTCTGTTCGATTAAATGTCGAATAGACATTTATTTTTGGAATTATTGCCTAACCTATCGAAAAACAATGGGAAAATACTAGACAAAATTTGAATTTATTCTTTTCAAAAAATGTCTTAGTAATAATAATTGCAAGAAAAAAAGTGAAACAAAATCTGAAATTAATTTTCAACATTTCAAGTCACATATCTCGTGTTAGACATGTATCAATGGTTGATTATAGCATTACTATTCATATTAATTCAATTGAACAAAGTTAATACGATGGATAAATTTTGTATTTATATAGTTAATAAATCTATCATAACAAATAATTGTAAAAACAAATATATGTTTTTTTTATTATTATTTTCATCATAATAAATTAATTCGTTTAGAAAATCATATTAATTTATGTGAATTATTTATTAAAAATTTTCCTAATAATTATTATCTTACATTATGATATATTATCAAAATTTAATTGTAAGCTAAAACATCATTTATATCAGTTCTATAACATAATATTTTCATTAGATATTCATTAAAAAAAGCATAAAATATAGAATATTTAACAATTTGAAATTGTTTTTGACGTTCTTATTTTTTTGTTGAAGACTAATAGTAACAAGTCAAACAGTGCATAAAAATTTGGAAAAGTTGCCATTTCTAGTATTTCCCCCGTATACTCTTAACTCTCTCACAAGAGCTAAAATAAAATTTCGAGAATGAAGATACAAAGAAAACTTCGTAGCATAGTCTCTCAAATAAAATTTTATTTACATATGTTCGACAGGCAACATCGATTATTGAGAGGAAAAGTAAAGGAGGATTGAAAATACATTTTCACGTAAAATAGTATCTTCACCATCATTTTCTAATAAACATAGATTACTAATCAAAAAGGAATATTCTTCATTAATATTGTATTCAAATGGTCAATCATTTAAAATACATTTATTTATTATATCAATATTGGTTTATATAAATTTTTATGGTAAACAATGAGCAAACATCGATTTAACAACAAGAACAAGACGAAGATTTTCATCAAACGAGTTCGAAATAAAAACTGATTAATTTACTTAACAACATATAAAAAATATTTCACTAAAATCTCTTTAGGTACTGATTCATAACAAAACAACTCTTTTCTGATAAAAAAAAATGAGAATCTCAATCAGATTATAATTTATGTCAATATCATCGAAAATTTCTTTCATACATGTCATTTATTTAATTAATGTCAATTGACAATTTAACCTGAAAGTTATTATTTTTAAAAAAAAAAAATCTTTGACATATTCGGACAAAATCTGGGCTCAATGTTGTTAATTGAATATTGTAATAAATATAGATGATAGATTCAGTAAGAGTGATAGATTTCAGCTGAAGATTAGATTAGAATTGTTTTTGATTTTTTCTTTTAATTTAATATTGTTTATCGAATAAACTATGAAAGAGATAGAAAGAAGTTGAAAAACTTTGAGCATTATTCTTGTTCTATAAAAAAAAAATTTTTTCCAAATTGATTTTTAATTTTTAATAGTGGATTGTTTAGATTCGGATGACTGTGAGTATGAGTACAGATAGCAATGACATCCACACTCACATTTTCCTGTCTTAGGGGCCAAACTGACTAGACAAATTAAAAGTGAATTAAGGAGGGTGATTGGCGTTCAATTTAAAACAGACTTAATTATTAATGCTCCAGTTATACAATAGGTTGATTGAACAATGAAATGCATGTACATATAAAGACAGAAAAAGTGGTGGTATCGCTCGAAAGAGTTATTTATTATAAATCAATACACTAGATTTGTTAAGTCGTTCATAGATTACGAGTTTCTAAAGCGCCTCCAAGCAAGTAAACAATATTCAACATTTTTTACTACTCGAAAGTACATCATATTTATTAATTTTTGCTACATTATAGAGAATATCCTCAATCTTGATTAACGAATGATTGATTGAATCTGTCCGTATGCAAAAATAAAACGAAGATAATACTGTTTTATTTCTATAGTCTGTTGGGACCTTATCGTCTCTCATATTGAACCGCAATCATTGATTTCTATTAACAAGCGAAAAAATAAAATAAAATTCATTTAATTTGTACAATTAATATTTAGAATTTGTTCTCTCTTTTATCAACAACAATGCTCCAACTACATGATTTATTCCTTGATGAATCATTTATGTAGAATAAATCACTGAAAATAAGCTAAATGAAGAATAGAAATTTTTCTCCGAGCTTTACAGGGACGGGTAGGGTGGAGCATCAAACTCCCCGTGCACCTCTGATTGCTGCATTAAAAATTTGCCGTAAATGATCACGACTAGGTTCTGGTCTTGGTCACGAAGTGTTTTAAAAAAATGGTCATGATTGTGACTGTGAGTCACGCCAGTCTTTAGTCATGAGTCGAAAGCCATTATTTCAGTATCATCTCATTGTAGAATTGTATTTTAGTAAAGCAAAAATTAGTCAAAAACAAGGAATACTTTAATACCATCTGATCTAGGTTACATGTACATTACTACGTGTTATATCTTGTCAAATAGTACTATCATCTATTGATATTTGTTATGTATAGACTGTTTCTTTTGAATATGCTCGTCTTTCAGAAGGACGGTGCCTTGCAACACCTGCATTCTCACAAGTATTCTTTTTTCTTTTATTACACACATCTATGAGAATACACAGAAAGAGATAGAAGGTCAACGCTCGATCAAGAGGTCACGATATAAAGCTGAGCAAGCATAGACTAAATAAAGAATAACAGTCATTATAGTCTCTGATAGTCGGTGAAAAAATTATATATTTTTTTCCGAACGAGAACAATAAAAATAGATAGATTGAAATGTATTGTATTCCAATGATCGACTTTTCTAAGGGTTATTTTTAGAAGAATAGTCTAACGAAAATACCACTTGTGTATATGAATATGCTTTTTAATCAAGCTATACATATGGTACCAAATCATTGTTTTCTATTCGTTCTTTTCATGTAAGTAGTTTCGTTTCTGTCTCTACAATTAGTTTAAAATCCAATGACGTTATCTGTTTTAGTCTTGCAGGTTTAATACTTGTTTTGTTCTATATATTTGCTACTCTATTTCATTGATAGTTCGAGTGAATTCTCAAACATGTCGTGAAATGTCTCCATATGATCAATGTTCAACTAATATTGATTGCGGATGTCTTCCTTTAACAATATCTGATGATAGTGGTCTTTGTGGTTTTCTTCGGATTAAATGTTCTCATTTAGAACCATGTGAAATGCCAAATGATTACTGTAAAAATCTTGATCATGTATGTGTTCATCATCCTCGATGTCATCATGTTTCTGTTTGTTATCCACTATTAATGATCGATCAACGAATCTGTCCACCAAAAATAAGTAAAAAAAATAAATATTAATTCTTACACTGAATCTATTATATAGAAAAAAAGACAATATTCTACAAAAATTTCTGTTGAACCATACATTTCGTACATTTTTGAACAAAAAAAAATCTGAAATTTTATTTTTTCTCTTCAGTCAAAAGGATATAAATTCTCGATATGAATTGCAAGTGTTTGGATTGCTCAAATATTCATCTCTAATGATACTTAATAGGGAAATCTTATACAACGATTAGATTATACAACAGTGATGGGGAAACCATCTGAGATGATACCTCACGTTTCGATGAGACTTTGCTCTTATTAGGTAGAGTATGTTGAAACTAGAAAAAACCCTAGAAAGATTTCTTCCCTCTGGAATGTCCTTCTGGAGTTATGACCTTCTCAATGCATTTTTGACTGCTGATAGAATATTCATCATTATAATCGAACAATCGAATTTCGACTTGAAATTTTGTTTACGAGTAGATCTCCACTTCATTAGAATACTCTAAAATTTTCAGTCAAAAAGAATGATTCCTTGAGATATCCAATTTGCAAAAAATTCATAATATCTCATGTGAAGGAGAAACAATCTAGTTTTTTTTGCGAATTGGATATCTCAAGAAGGAATCATTCTTTTTGACTGAAACTTTTAGAATATTCTAATGAAGTGAAGATCTACTCGCAAACAAAATTTCAAGTCGAAATTCGATTATTATGATGAATATTCTATTAACGGTCAAAAATGCATTGAGAAGGTCATAACTCCAGAAAGACATTCCAGAGGGAAGAAATCTTTCTAGGTTTTTTTTAGTTTCAATAGGCTCCGCTTAACGAAGGAGATCCCATCGAGAATGTGAATTGTCACCTCGGATAGTTCTCTCATTATTGCCAATTCTCACACAAAAACATACAATAATGTTATGGTTTATTCCATTCAACCATGACATCTACACCTCGACTATTTCTTTCGTATCTCCTTTTTTGTTATTATATTTTCTTTTCCTTTTGTTATTTATAAACTATCGTAAAAGAAGAATAAAAGTTAGTTATGCTTTAACATGAAACGAACTCGAACGTCTTTAAGATTAAGTGCAAATTAAAGCGTAACAAGTGGTGACAGCGGTTTAAAAGAAGAAAAATTTTTTTTTCTTTTAATTCAACGACGATTATAATTACTTAAAAGAAGGAATCCTTCTTATTAGGAGTTGATTCTGTCCTACACATTCAGCGACGAAACTTAATTTCCAATTATGACTGACGATGAGTCACCTTCAAATTTAAATGAAGATACAAAAACAATCGAAAAACCGATGCAAACAATACAAACACAACAAATAAGTACACCAAATGAATCAGTTCGTCGACATGTTCGAATTTTAGCAGAAGAAGAAAGAATTAGTACGGATAAATGGTTATCTNATACATTTCAATCTATTGATATTTGTTATGTATAGACTGTTTCTTTTGAATATGCTCGTCTTTCAGAAGGATGGTGCCTTGCAATATCTGCATTCTCACAAGTATTCTTTTTCTTTTATTACACACATCTATGAGAATACACAGAAAGAGACAGAAGGTCAACGCTCGATCAAGAGGTCACGATACAAAGCTGAGCAAGCATAGACTAAATGAAGAATAACAGTCATTATAGTCTCTGATATTCGGTGAAAAAATTATTTATTTTTTTTTCGAACGAGAACAGTACAAATAAATAGATTGAAATGTATTGTGTTCCAATGATCGAATTTTCTAAGGGTTATTTTTAGAAGAATAGTATAACGAAAATACCACTTGTGTATATGAATATGCTTTTTAATCAAGCTATACATATGGTACCAAATCATTGTTTTCTATTCGTTCTTTTCGTGTAAGTAGTTTCGTTTCTGTCTCTACAATTGATTTAAAATCCAATGACGTTTTCTGTTTTAGTCTTGCAGGTTTAATACTTGTTTTGCTCTATTTATTTGCTACTCTATTTCATTGATAGTTCGAGTAAATTCTCAAACATGTCGTGGAATGTCTCCATATGGTCAATGTTCAACTAATATTGATTGCGGATGTCTTCCTTTGACAATATCTGATGATAGTGGTCTTTGTGGTTTTCTTCGGATTAAATGTTCTCGTTTAGAACCATGTGAAATGCCAGATGATTACTGTAAAAATCTTGGTCATGTGTGTGTTCATTATCCTCGATGTCATCATGTTTCTGTTTGTTATCCACTATCAATGATCGATCAACGAATCTGTCCACCAAAAATAAGTAAAAACAAATAAATATTAATTCTTACACTGAATCTATTATATAGAAAAAAAGACAATATTCTACAAAAATTTCTGTTTAAGCATATATTTCGTACATTTTTGAACAAAAAAAACACCTGAAATTTTATTTTTTCTCTTCAGTCAAAAGGATATAAATTTTCGATATGAATTGCAAGTGTTTGGATTGCTCAAATACTCATCTCTAATGATACTTAATAGGGAAATCTTATACAACGATTAGATTATACAACATTGATGAGGAAACCATTCGAGATGATACCTCACGTTTCGATGAGACTTTGCTCTTATTAGGTAGAGTATGTTGAAACTAGAAAAAACTTAGAAATATTTCTTCCCTCTGGAATGTCATTCTGGAGTTGTGACCTTCTTAAATGCATTTTTGACCGTTGATAGGATATTCATCACAATAATCGAACAATCGAATTTCGACTTGAAATTTTGTTTACGAGTAGATCTTCACTATATTAGAATATTCTAAAAGTTTCAGTCAAAAAGAATGATTTCTTCTTGAGATATCCAATTCTCAAAAATATTATAATATTCCATGCGAAAGAGAAATAATCTAGGTTTTTTTGCGAATTGAATATCTCAAGAAGCAATCATTCTTTTTGACTGAAAATTTTAGAATATTCTTATGAAATGGAGATCTACTCGTAAACAAAATTTCAAGTCGAAATTCGATTGTTCGATTATTATGATGAATATTCTATCAACAGTCAAAAGTGCATTGAGAAGGTCATAACTCCAGAAGAACATTCCAGAGGGAAGAAATCTTTCTAGATTTTTTCTAGTTTCAATAGGCTCTGCCTAACGAAGGAGATCCCATCGAAAATGTGAATTGTCACCTCGGATAGTTCTCTCGTTATTGCCAATTCTCATACAAAAGCATACAATAAAATTTACAGTTTCAGCAAAATTGCAAAATTCCGAAATAAATTACATGAACGAGCACAAAGTATGAAGTTGGTTTAGTCAGGTCAAAGAAAATGGCACGCGTGATCGTTTTCAGTACCTAACCTTTCTTCATATTCAAATATAGCAATTTCTAATTTTCACTAAGGTCTTTTAGTACACTTGAATTGATTATTTTCGTTAATAATTATCGACGTCCACCTTACATCATATAGGTGGCATAGTAGAACGTGAAAGAAATATAGGAAAAACGAGTTGTAACCGTACTTATTTTTATGCATTTGTTACAGCACAATTATGGGTCTAGAAAAGATGCTCGCAGGATAGTTGCTCACAAATAGAATTTCTCGCGGATGCGCATGCATGTCACTGTTGATGTTTAAGTGAATCAAATCAACATTTAAACTAAATCGCTTACCAGCAAATATTCCGTTTCCTACGATTGTTATGATTTTCAAAATTTTTCTAAGCTGTGAAATTACGAACAGTCAGTGACATTTGTTTATATCATCGGATTTATGTGAATTTATTTGTTGATTATATATACAAAACATTTAGACTGCATCAAAAGAGAAACATAGTGCGAAAGAATCAGCTCTTATCCTTAGTTATAAATCTGTCACAAACCGAACTCCTTCCGTTTCATGACAAGATGTAAAATAAGATTTTCAAGAAAAATTTCGAAAAAATACTATTTAGAAGCTACTAGCAATCTCTTACTCAGATATATATATCGTATTCTTTTTATTTTGTTGCACTAAACACTATTCATTGTTATTATCATGTTCACTTGTCCAAGGCTCAAAATATTTAAAAAAAAATATTTTTGTCTTTAGTGAAAACTTTTATATATACGTACCATTTAAACATATTTCGTTTTCTTTAGATATAACAATGAATAATCCAACTACTATAACAACGATCGATAGAACAACAAGTGAGTTATTGAATTTTCATTATTTAAACTGTATAATGGCATAGAAAGAAGAGAGTAAAACAAATGAACGATCTATCTCCGTTAAGTATTTTTAAGAAACGACAATTACTTTGCAACACATTCGGGAAGTTTTACTTTAAATCAATCAAGACAGAATTGAGTCCATAAAAACAGAAATTGACAGCAGTTCTAATACGACTAAGTTTATCCATTTTGATGAGCAAATTAATAAAGTTTCGTTTTTATATACGTACATTCAGCTTCACCGTTATCAGCAAAAACCGAAAGGTAACATTTGTTCAACAGCAACATGGGCTCAACATGGTATCACAATAATTGGTGGCAACAGTTACGAAGGTCCATCTGTCGATCTTGATTTTCCTAAAGGAATGTTTATCGATGAAAATCAAACAATTTATATAGCAGATACTGACAATCATCGAGTTATTAAATGGAAACAAGATGCTTCAAGTGTTGAAATAATAACAGATGGGAATGATAAAGAAAATATTAATACATGTGGATCGAGTAAGCCGTTTGATGTCGTTGTTGATAAAAATGGAACAATTTACATTGCTTACCTAACAATTAATCAAGTTCAAAAATGGATTCGAGGTGCTGACAGAGGTGAAACAATGATTAATATACATAGTCCACTTAGTGTAGCAATAGATAATGAAGAATCAATTTATGTATCTTCTATGTCTTCATCAAAACTGAAGAAATATCGTAAAGGTGTAACGTATGGTCAAGCACTCATGTCTGGTGAAGTAGGACCTTTCCCATTGACTGTTGATCGGCATAGATCTGTTTATATGGTTGATATGTATCATGATCGAGTATTAAAGATAGACGAAGGAAACAGAGCTATCTCAGTTGTAGTCGATGGATCAGAACATAGTGGTACAGATCGACTATCAAAACCACACTCAATTGCTGTTGACGAGGGGGTTCCGGAATTTCGCCAATAAGACTTTCGCCAATAGGACTTTCGCCATTGGCGAAAGTACAGTGGACTTCCGCCAATACATTCGGTGGACTTTCGCCAATTGGCGAAAGTGCAGTGGACTTCCGCCAATACATTCTGTGGACTTTCGCCAATTGGCGAAAGTACAGTGGACTTCCGCCAATACATTCTGTGGACTTTCGCCAATTGGCGAAAGTACAGTGAGCTTTGAGCAAATTCAGTATAAAGTAGACGCCGACTAAAAAAATTTTTTTCGCCTACATCGGTAGATTATGTTCGTCTATGCCGTAGCCATATATTTTATATGCTGTTTCAGATAATAGCTATTTCAGTAATGCCGGTTACAACTCGTGCTGCTGCATTACGGTCTCAGATCGCTGAAGAAACAACATCGTCTACGAAACCAGTAGCAACCAATAAAACAATTCGAAAATGCCGATCACAAATAAAGCAAAAACAACTTAAGGCACAGTCACCTGAAATTTCTACAGAATCAGAAAAACATTCCTCAGTTGTACAACAATTAGCAGTTCCACAGGTTGAATCTGAAATTGAAATAGATAATCATCGTGATCCTGAAAATAAAAGATTAATTGAAGGAATTGATATATCAATTGAAAGTTTATTTATCGATCAAGTACTAACATTATCACCAACATCTGAAAATAAAATAGGTGAACAACAAATAAATAAAAAATTAGCATCATCTCATTCTGGTGATCATCAATCAACAATTTTGTCATCATCACCAGTAACACCGTCTGTTATGAAATCACCAACATTGACAGTAGAAAAGGTAAAAATTGACTATTCTCTTTTATCATCGGACCAGGATGAAGATGATATTTATCCTGGTGATTCAAATGCTATTATGAATAAAACAGTGGAAAAGGGAGAGATTATTAGTGGCACATCAACTCGAGGCGGTAAAATGATTTTTATGAATGATTATGGATATTTATTCATGAATGAAACACAGAATACTGTTGGTTGGAGATGTGCACGGAGAGATTTAAATTGTAAAGCAGTAATTTATACATTCAAAAATACACAAGAATTTAGCCATTGGAACGGACAAGTTCATAGTCATTTACGTGATACAGGTTATACTCGAAAGTATGAGATTTTGTCAAAAATAAAAAGTCTTGTTATTGATGTATTCATTCCTATCAAAGCAATTATCGAAGATGAATATCGAAAAGCTAAATTAACAGCAGAAGAGAAACGAGTAACGCCTCTTCCAACACAAATCGGTACATAAAGTTTATTTTTCTTTCGTTAGTACTGTTTCTCATTATCTTTTCTCATTTTTTAGAATCTGGTTTATACAAATTGCGTCGTAAAAGGTATCCACCAATACCTACTGATCAAAAGTTTATTATTCCAGCTGTCTATCAAGAGACATATTCTAATTCAAGATTTTTAATATATGATAAAAGAAAAAGTTCTTATGGTGGTCGTTTATTAATTTTTGCATCAGATGAACAATTAAATGTATTGTTCCATTCTGAAGTGCTTTTTGCTGATGGGACATTTAAAGTGTCCCCAACCTTGTTTGAACAACTTTATGTTTTGCATGGTTTACAGAACGGAGAGGGTACGTGCGGCATGCAATCATATATATCTATTTACAAGAACGAGAAAAAAATATATTTATTTTGAATCGAAGTTTAACTTTTCTATGATTCATTTTCATATATTTCTAGTTATGCCAGTATGTTTTATTCTTACATCAAACAGAAAGTATGATACGTACACAGCAATTTTCAGATCTTTAAAACGAACTGGATTAAAAATGGGTTTTGATTTAAAACCTTCGACTATCATATGTGATTTCGAACAATCATTCATGAATGCAGTAACTAATGAGGTATGTGTCTGTCTTTCTTAATACATCTTGTCTAAAAGTTTGTTCTCTTGTATTTATAAAATCTAGTTACCACAAACTACTGTTACCGGTTGCTGGTTCCACTTTTGTCAGTCTTGTTATAGGAATATTCAGAAGCTCGGTATGATGAATTTGTACGAGGCTGATGCTGAATCGAGAGAGTTATTACGTGGTTTTATGGGTCTTGCTTTACTTCCTATTGGTCGTATTTTTGAAGGATATGAAATTCTAAAACAAAGAGTAACAAGTTCGTCTCAAAGAAAAGAATTAAATGCATTTGTTTCCTACTTTGAGCATGAATGGATGCACGTTTTTAAACCTTCAACGTGGTCTGTCAACAGGAATACGTGGCGAACAAATAATCATGCTGAAGGTACAATAACGTTCTCTAATATTTTTAATACAAGTCTCGGAAAATTAATCTTCAATATTTCATTTCATTTCATATATTTTAGCACAAAATAAACGTATATTTACACGTGTTGTCCAGCCACATCCACACTTGTGGCGATTTATTCAATGCCTAAAGCAGGAGGAAAGCGTGATATCTCACCGCATGGTGCAAACTGGATTAGGATTTTCTTCTATTCAAGAAAAAAAATCGACACGTAAAGCAGCTCGTAAAAGTAAACAAATTCAAAAATTGTTGCACTTGTTAGAGTCAAAAGCAAGATCATTAGATGATACAATCAAGTCTTTTGCTCATCTTGTTGGCGAACCTGTTTGTCGAGGAAGAAAGGGAAAGAAGAAAAAAAATAATGTTTCAACATCAGACTTATCAATTCTCTCGTCAGATGAATATTAATTTATTCTTTTCTTTTAAACTTTTTTTCATATTGATTGCACTTTTTTTCTTATTATTCTCGCTATTTTACTATTGAAAACATGGCTCCCTCATATTCGAACAAATTCTAAGTGTCAACTATGATATATATATATCCTAGTAACATTAACTTCAGCGCTGACATATATCCTTTATTAATATCGTTGTGTAACCACTGAGATAGTCCANATTTTTACATTGCGAAAAGCTCTATATATACCCCTTGTACTTTTGGAGAAAACATGACCGCGGGATTAGCCGGGACGGGATTGGAAAAAATGTAGCGGGACGCGGGACGGGACGGGATTGAAAATATTTAAGCGAGATAGGACGGGACGGGATACAATCTCTGAACAACTCCCGCCGGGCCTTGCCGGGACAGTTTCTGATCGTCCCGTCAGTCTCTGATAGATATATATCTGATTTCTGAATTTGAGCAGACTTGAAAATTTTACTCGATTCGGAATAAGTGACCTGATCCACCTGCACATAGTCAAATTCGAGTGATTATATTAAATGAGAAGATTATTTATAGTAATAAACGAAAATAGAGATAACAGTTTTCTGATTGCACCATTGCCATTTTTTTATCAAAAATAAATATGCTTCAATTTTGGACAATTTATACGCATTGTACTTGTATTCTCTGCCACATTTACTAAATCTCCATAGGAAATATGAATCTTGTTCAGACAAGGTAAACGTATATTCGAGTCGGTTAGAAATTGTTCCACATTGTCGAGATGTACATTTTTATAGGCAAGTTCGACAAGATTACTGTTATTTTCCAGTTTCTTCATTTTTATTGTCACTTTCATCAATTTTTCTTTTGCCATTTAATGAATTGTTATTTTGAGTTTCAGTTGTCGTTTCCATATGAACATCAGTCTTAATCAGAAAACAAAAATAGTTTTAATTAGGGGTGGGAAGTTACCGCTACCGTTCCCGGGAACGCGGGAACGTTCAGAGGAGTGTCTACCGTCCACAAGTCCTACTATTCTTGGCGAGGGGTACCTTTGGGTCCCCAGCTCTTACAATTGGGGGTACATTTGAGGCCTCAAGTCCGACTATTGGGGAAGGGTACCTTTGGGGCTTCAAGTCCCAGTTTTCGGAGTACCTTTCGGCTTCAAGTCCCACAATTGGAGGAAGGGATGGGAAGTTTCCTTTGTATTTCAGGGTTACCCTTCGTCCACCAAGTGCTAGCATTCCGGGATATCCTCGGGTCCCCCTGGAGGACGGAAAAGTACTTCCCAATAGTTTGACTTCAGGACCTTAGGGTGCCCCCAGTAATAAGACTTTTGGGACCAAGGCTACTGACAACACCAGTAATTGTTTGGATAAGCGTACCACTCGACGCTTGCTATGCTTGGGCCAAATGCACCCACTTCCTGGAAATTCAACCCGGTGGCGCAAGGCTTCCGCGCAAAATTTGCATAGGTTGGGCCCACGTGAAGGCGACACTTTTTTCCATGCTTGGGCCAAGGCCAACCCCATCCCTGGCAATTCAACCTGTTGGCATAACGGTTTGGTTCAAATTTCGGACTGGCTGGACGCGCCGTACCAAGTAATAGTTCCAGTGGGTTGGGCGAGTGTACCCCGCGATACGGATACTTGATGAGCGAAAGATATCTGCTTATACTAGCATTTGCGGATCCAACGGTATCTCGAATGGTGGGGCTTGTGGACACCAGGGTACCGCGAATAGTTGTTCTTGAGGGCCAAGGCTATGAGATTGATGCTAGCTAGTCCCCTGACCGTTCCCGCGTTCCTCGGGAACTGGTAACGGGGCGTTACCGTTCCCGGGAACGCGGAATCTGAAAAGTTACCAGTTCTCGGGAACGCGAGAACGGAAAAGTTACCAGTTCCCGAGAACGTGGGAACTTTTCCGTTACCGTTACCGTTCCCAGAAACGGTTTGAGAACGGTAACTTCGCACCCCTATTAATGACTGGGCAACACTGTCTTTTTTTAAACGATGCACTCTCATTTCTAGCACTAATGCACCCTTTAAACAAGATCATATCTGTAAGTTTCACAAGACATCTCGTAGCATTGTTGCGTGTTAGTGTGGTACATACATTTGGGTTAAATGTGTTCGTATTATACTGCTAGATATTTAATACTAAATTCTCATATCTCAATTTTTATTCCATGGATTTTGATAAAGTTTTTTTAAAGAACTCGTTACTGTTCAGATTATCTACTAAGCATACCATTAAGTCTCTAGGCCGGTATCACTGTAGGATTTTCAAAGGAAAAAGCAAAAAGTCATTGAGTTTTGGGTGTTTATCTTCGGTTTATCCGCCCACCCACACCCACACTGGGAAAGTTTTAGAGGTTTTCTCCAGCAGAAATTGCTGGAGTGATCATAGTTACGCCAACCCATTTTGCTTCAGTGATCAGAATTACCCCAGATAGAATAGCTTACTGATCAGAATTACTTCAGTTGGGGTAATTTTGATGACTTTGATAGGGCTTTCAGCATTTTTGTAAAAACTAATTCAAAATATTAATTTTTCTGAAAAATTTTTACATGACTTAATAGAGAAGACTTGAGACTATCTGTAGATAAAAAAATCTTTTTTTCTGATGTAAAATGGCTGAAAAATAATCAAAATACACTTTTTTTTGTAAAGTGATCAGAATTACGCTAATCGACTGTATATATAAAGAAATTGTGGCCGAGTTCATTCGCATATAGAACAAAAAAAAGAGAAACAATATCATTTTTCCTTTTATTCATTCGTTGTCAGTTGTAATTATAGGCGTATATGTCTTATTGTTTTCATTGACGACAACGATCAAATCGATAAAATGAGCATATCTATATAAATACTCATATTTATAAACGATAAGAATAGATAAGTGAAAAAAATATGGAACATATATCGACTGAATTAAATAATTTACCGGATGAAATTCTTATGATTATTTTGAAAAAAATGTTCAATACCGAAGTACTCTACTCTTTAATAGATGTTAATAAACGACTCAATACAATTGTACGTGATCCAATTTTTACAAGTCACTTAACATTGATGAGACGTTTCTCGGATAATTTCAACTATCCATTACCTGATCTAATACTTGATCGATTTTGTTCACAAATCTTACCCTCAATTTGTCATAACATCAAATCGCTCAATATTGAATCATCATCTATGAAACGTATTCTTCATGCTACAAATTATCCGAATTTATATGGACTTGGTTTATATAATATTGAGATAGGAACAGCTCTATCTCTCTTTATTGGTAAGATTTTTTTTTTCAATTCTTTTAATAATTAACTATGGAAAAATATATACAAAAATCAAAATGAGTTTGAATATATAATTTATACAAATAGATTTAGATTACTATGCACCTTTTTTCTTATAAAATATTGCTGTACTTTACTGATACAAACTGGCAAATATAAATTTGAGAAAAATTAGTAGTAGAAAAATGATACCAGGAATCATTTATAATTAAAGCAATATTTGAATAAAATTTTGTAGTGTCTTTAATTGAAATTTTCAATATTGCTTCTGAAAGACGAAATTGTAGAATAAAATAAATAACTGAAATGACACGATATAATTTATTAAAGAATTTGAAAGAAAAGATTACACATATACATTATAGAATTGTTAAAAAGAAAAAAAAGAATAAATACATTGATTTAATGATCAAGATAAATTCCAGTATGTTTTTTGTTGACGTCGTATTTTTATTTAGACGAATCATGTTCAACTTCTATAAATAAAAATCAAATCTCATCGTTTATCATCGATGTTACTAAATATAAAAAAAAAAGTTTAACAACAGATGTGATTGCACGTATATTGACACATATCTTTAATATGTTCTCCAATTTACAATATTTTTATTTTTGTCCATCTTCAATTTGGTATCAACGATTATTATTTGACAATCCATTTCCAACTATGACCTCTTCAACTCTCTTAGAATTGCATATCAGTTTGGCATCTTTCACCGACTGTCTTTATCTACTTGATGGACGTTTCAATAAACTTCACACGCTTTATGTTGATATTCTTTCCATTTCCTCTTCGCAATTAACAAACAATAATCAGGTAGATTATTTCAGCTAATATTTAATTTTTTCGAACAAATTCATTATATGGTTTTTTTTTATAGGAAAAACTATCTAATTTAATATGTTTTTCACTATGTTGTGAAATGTCAACACATGCTTTTGATAAATTAATTGTACCATTTCTACAACGAATGTCGAATTTAGAAAAACTCTGTTTGAATCTTGTTGTTTGTGACAAAAAATTTGTTGATGGAAATGAATTGAAGCACAATATTATTAATCATATGGCACGATTACAGAGGTTCGAATTTTATATTTGCTCAGATATTTCTCTTCATAATCAAATTTATCTACAATCGAAAGAAGATATTCAACATACATTCAAAGATTTTAAAGATGATCAAGTTATTTCCTATGTTGATTATTTCCAAGAACAATATGGTCTATGTCATATCTATTTGTATCCTGACCAATTAAAATATTACTATACTGTAACAAATAATTTTCCAGGTGGCTTATTTACATGTGTTCGTACAATATCATTATATGATGAACATCCTTTTGAACATGAATTTTTTCTTCGAATTGCTCAATCATTTCCATTTATGAAAATACTTTCTTTACGTAATTTGAAAACACAAAATAACAAATTATGCAGAGAACCACAGAAAGACAATG